ATATCTATATATATATTATCTTTGCTCTCAGAGCATGAAAAATATGTAAAAAATATTTTGAAATATTAACTATATACGAATGCGTCGAAAAAAAATCGATGATTATAGGTTGTAATATCTGAATGGTATGTTTGGAACTAAATTGATTTTTTAAAGATCCGAGTCGAATATTGCAACTTTCTGAATTCGTATGGACGCTACGTTATTCGGTATGAGTATCTTTAACCATTTTCTCCTTATTTTTGCAACAGATAGAAGTAAGATTAGTATCAATCACCGTAAAATATTTTTCGACGTAAGCCTATACCCACCTTTCATTATTCGCGAACAATCGTTGCCCAACCTTATGAAAAACTGGGTCTAAACAGGTTTTGGATATCATTCAAAGATTTCAAACTACAGAGATATAGAGGTTACATCTACCCCTCCCCCCTCCCCAAAAAAAACCTCTAAGGTTTTGGGATATTTATAAGGTTCTACAAAATCTATAAAGTTTTCCAAAGGAATTTAGTTTTTGCCAGAAACTCAAATATTCAAATTTCTATATCTTTGTAACCTGATGGTGTAAACCTTTGATATTAAAAATTTGACGGTTTTATCTAACTGAATTCATAGTTTCATATATCAAATGTCTACGGCATTGGGTTGCAAAGATATGGGATCAGGAAATTTTGACTCAATTCCTTTAAAAAATAGTTTTCTTATATATACACTGTACAAATTACAAAAACGAACCACGTGACGTGACGTGACGTGACCACGTGACGTAAGTTTGTAAGAATGTATGATGAGTGATGAGCAATAATAACTTTAATGCTGAAGGAATGTCCTATAGATGTTCTTGTTCAACCCTGAGCTAATATTTTAGATTTAAAATTAAATGATGATGATGACGGACCAAAGCTCTATAAAGTAAATAAAGTAGATGATATTTTCACATTTTATTGAAAATACATTTCGGTCTGGGTTGACCCTCGTTAGTTCTAACCATATAATAACCATCAAAATATATAATAAAAAATGTTAAAAAAAAACGCAAGAAAATAAATAAAATATAAAGATTAAAAAAAAATTTGGAGAAATATCCAGTTTTGATTTCGATTTTTAACAATTTTATTGGTAACAAGTCAGTTTGAATCACGCCTTGAGGTTCTGTGAAAATTTATATATTTAAAGGATTTTTTACATATTTACTATTTTATACGATATGTTTTTTGGTTTAATTAGTCAGAACAAATTATCATATATTTATCATTTATACTTGATCTAACAAATAGTACACGATAGAGGTTGCGTGATTTTCGAAGCTGATTCATTCGGGACCCAGTAGATGTAATACAGTGGAATAAATGCTGTCTTCGTTCTTTCTTTTTATGTTAAATTGTTATGATATTGCAGTATTTTTTTGTAGTTGTGATTTTATAACTGACATTTCCAATTATTGTCAAATGTTTCATCTTGGAAATATAAAATCCTGATCGAAATTTCACCACAACATCTAAGTGCGATGGAAGAAAAGGCGATTCTTATTTTTTTTCTCACTTAGTTCTAACAACTATTATTATTTCTAACAACTATTGCCATATAAACCAATATTATTGGGTAAATTGATAATGTAAATTTTAAATGAATATATAAAAGTTAATTGTTAAAAAGTAAGGGGGGGGGGGTGAATATGAAACATGCATGAAGTTTGCATTTAAAAAAGTGTATTTCTTAAAAATTAGTTATTTCTGTAGAAATTGAGTCGTGCTTTGGATAAATTGATATAATTTTCCTATCTCAAGAAAGCGCCCATATTTCCGGTCCAAATTTGAAAGCTTCAAATCATCATTTTTGCAACTTCACTCAAATCCAATCTATTTACGAATTTCAACTAGGGGATAGGGGGTAGGGAGCCTTATAACCTGAACTACGTGACACGAACCTAAACATTTTCCGACCTATTCTTCTGGTTTGCTTTGTCACAGTTTGAACATTTGTAGCTCTTGTTAGCTTGAGGTCGGTGTAAATAGCATTTAAAATAGATATCTACTTAAACTACAAAATTGAAGATATATTCAAATTTCACTCACTCATTCTATTGCATTATCGAATTATCGCTTTAGTGTGGAGTAGAATTAACGATGTCAATAGGACATAGACAGGACAAGAGTTCAAGGATACTACAGGGTGTCCCAAAAAACATGGGAATTCAGAGACGAATTCGATATCGTCTTGGTTATGAACTAGCATTGTAATACCTTATTTCAAAAGCCAAATTATTTTTATTTCTGCTAGAATTTATTTTATAAAAAAGGGTAAAAGACTGTAAAGATGTGCCTGTAATGACTCCGCAAGATGAACAGTGAAGACGGACGAGACGGACAAGTTTATAACTCTATTCGTTTACTGCAATTTTCTTGTTTTACAAAGTACAACCGTATGCAGTCAAAACATAAACAAACAAAATGTGAACATATAGCAGACGAAACTCTTACAGATTACAGCTTTCTCAGTAGGTATCACAATACTAAATCAAAGAATTATTTAAAAAGACGATATCGAATTTGTCACTGAATTCTCATGTTTATTGGGACACCCAGGAAACTGAAAAAGGCATTTTAAGACACACTGATAGGGACAAATTTTGACAAATAAAAGAAACAAAAACTACAGAAATTTTTTTATCCCCAACATTCTTTGAACAAAATGTTCGTAATTTTCAAATCCTTTTAAGTTCGATTTTACGAAGTAAATTTTAAAGTTTCTTTCGACAAATAAATTTTAAACTATCCCCCCCCCCTTCCACTCCCCTTCTACTCCCTCTCCACTTCCCCTTAACTTTCCTTCACCCCTCCCCCACAACTTCCCTTCACAGCACTTCCCCTCCATTTCCACTTCTCTCCACTCCTCCTTCACTTTCCTGCACTCCCCCCCTCCCCCATAATTTTTCTTGCACGACCTCTCCTCTTCCATTTCCATGTACCTTCCCCTGAGCTTCCCTGCCCCCCCCCCCCCTCCATTTCCCTGCATACCCCCCTCTCCCTCCACTTCCTTGCACCCCCTCTTCTTCCAAAAATCTAAATATCTAAAAGTTATAGGAATTAATCTCATCTGAATGCAGAGTGACCAACAAGGGATAAAACTTCAGAGACGACCTTGGTACCGAATTAAAAAAAATTTGCTTTAAAAAATTGTTTCATTTTTGTCACATTTTAACCCTTAACAATTCTATTTAAGTCCGAGAATCAAATTCAAGATTAAGATTGTCTTATCTAAAGAGTTTTAAGTCATCATTAATGTCCCATCCTTTGTGGCTAACCCTGTATATGCTTTCATGCTCTCACTCAAATTTATCGTATTAAATTGTAATTGCATTAATGAAGTTAGATATATAACCAGTCATTATAAAACCTTTACAACTTGAAAATTCAGGCAGTAGCATGCAATCTCAGCAAATTACAAAACAGATTTAAAGCTTTTGCATGCTTTCGTTAAACCTAAAAATGCCATGGGGGGTTTAAAAAAGTATGTAAATTTTACACTTAAACACTTATAAGCTTTACAAGATTTATTTGAATTACCATCTTGCCAAAAATAAAATAAATAAAAAATAAATTATATTTCATTAGATTTTATTGTGTAATCCTCTTAAATAAGTTTAACTGAAAAATTAAAGAAATTTCAAAAATCGAAGCGGGTAAAATAAACTTTTTAGGGCAATTCGAAAACATTTCCGATGCATGAGCTGAAAACTTTAGAATGGGATATCCATAATCCTGATTGGTAAATTAATATGAAGATTAATAATAAGAGGAGAACAAGCACTATTTAATCTGGATATTAAGAAAAAGAGGAGATCAAGCATTAATCCCGATATCCACCATTCTAAAGTTTTCAGCTATGGTTATATAAATTTGTAATTTTTTTTTGTACTAATTTCATGCAATTCAAATTTGAATTTATTTATCAAGAACATTTTTTGTTTAGACTTTCTACTTTTTTTATTTCATTTATATATCTGATCAATAATATTTAGGTTTAAATATGTTTAATTCTGAACTCTTTATATGTTTTCCTGCAGAAGAAATGCGCAATTTACTTTAGTAGAGCAACCCAATTGAAAATTACAATATTTTAATAATATAATTATTAATATCCAATTGCTCATAGATTAATAACAATAACCCTGAGACAGAAGCCTTAAGGAGTTACGCGCATGCCGCGTTGAATGACAAGACAGAGAGAGCATGTGCGTAACTCCTTTGGGTTTCTGCTTCAGGGTTGTTGTGAACGAAAAAACCCTAAATCTTGAAAAGACGACATCTATAGTGTTCTATCTGTAATGTTATTAATCTATGCAATTGATATTGATCAGGCAAAGCTTTCAAGGGTACCATTGTGAATATGGCATTGCTATCTTTCCATTTAAAGCCACTTGAAACTACTCTGACAGTCCCTGAAAGGGACAGACCGGCTATGTAAGGTAGTTTGCAGTAGTATGCAGTGTTGTGGACAAATTCTTCAAATGTCGTAATTTTAATAAAAATTCCAGAAAATCTGCAGAAAATCTTTGTGATTAAAGAGAGCTTATAAAAACTAATAATTAAATAAGATTACTTATTTTTGATGATAAGAGTTAATTTCTGTTCTCTCAACCTGTTAATAAACAACTAAGTAGTTTTCTGTAGAATTTGGTTTACATTTTTTGTCGTCGTCATTATTAATTAAAAAATAAAACAATTCTGAAAACGTTTTCACACAAAAGTACGATTTTGAACGTTGACTTTGCGCTCAAACTCAGGATTTACAGATCTTTAAAAAGTTTATATATCTCAAATGAATTCTAAAGAATTTGTCCACAACACTGCATACTTGCAGTTTAACTACCTTACATAGCCGGTCTGTCCTTTTAAAGCTTGAGTCTCAAGCACAACGGTACCCTAATAGTTTAAAGCCTTTAGTTGAATTAATTATATTTTAACAAAATTAGGTGCATTAGTTGTGACTGTGAGTAATTAGCAGTTCCCTTAAATCTATATTTTTACATGATTTTAAAAACAAAAATAATACAATTCTACGACATAACTATGTATAAACAGACATCCATGAGTAACAACATTTTTCAACTAATCTCCTTTAATCTGGCTTCCTTTTTTTAGAATTGGCAATCAGTGTTTAAATATATAATAGTACACTTTTAAAAATCAGTAATATGTTTGTAAAAATGGAATGTTTTTTAAAAGTTTTGAATCAAATTTAGATTTGCTTTGTTTACGTTCCATCTCCAGCAGTTCTCTTCTTAATCTTCGTCCTGTGTTTGAGCTGAGAGGAAGAGATGTTGAGGTTTCAACTGAAATAAAGATATATTTAAAAATAATTAAAAAAATATCGAGATCAATGCTTGATCTCCATCTCCATGTTAAGCTACAGATTAATCTAATCTTAATTCGATATCCAGTGAAGTACCAAACAAAATCTGTAGCAATATTTCTAATAAAAAAAACATACATACATCCATTTCCCTTTACACTGGATTAAAGATGACTATATTGTATATTTTAAACATGTTTTTATTTTTAATTACTGCCTTCTGACTAACACAAAAGGACATGTTACGCCCCTTGTGACAAATAAGTAACATTTCTGTAAAGTAGTTGTAAATAATTATTAACCATATTTTGTTCTTTTATTGTATGAAATATAATATTATTATATGGAATGTATAATTCTTAGCTATTTTTATTGCGATGAAGAATAAAAATAAAAAAATTTTAAAAATAAAGATAAGAATAAAATTTAAAAAAATTAAAAATGAATGAAGAATAAAAAAACTTTACCCTCTATTTCAAAAGATGCATCTCCATTACAAATACAACCACCATTCGTAGTTGTCCATCCAGTTGTTGATGTTGATGTATAAGTAATTTGTATAGTTGTTGTGGTGGTTGTGGAAGATGTACTTGGGCAAATACATGGTGTAGATGTAAATGATGTTGTTGTTGTAGAAGAACCACCAAGATTAGTAAAAGCATCGTCTTTTGTACTGGTCCAGATTAATGTTTCAGTTAAAGAAGAAATAGTAGATGTTGAAATTTCAGAGTGTGCTACTGTAGTAGCATCAAATATTAATAATTTACCTATCAGTGGTACAGAAGATTTATCATGAATAGATACTGCTGTAGCTGATGATGATCTGTCATCAGAATCTGTGGATAATTCAGGAGTTCCACTAGTAATATCAACAGAAAACGGGGGCGATTTAGATGAGTCTTTAGCGGTAATAGTAGATATTGTAGTGATTGGTTCACTAGACGCTGTTGTAGTAATAGAAACAAATTCATCAGTATTTAAAACATCCTCTTCAAAAGATAACACAGTGGCTGTACTTTTACTGGTTGTTTCTATAGATTTTTCAGATATTATTATATTATCAGCTGAAGTTGATCCATCATAAGAAAATTTAGTAGAAGTATCTTTGGTTGTAGTTTCGTAATTTGTTGCAGTTTCTGCATTTGGTTCAGGTGATGATTTTTCTGTAACTTGTAAAGTAGGGCTCTCAATAAAATTTAGTGAAGTTGTTGCAATAGTAATTTTTGTAGTTGTTTCTGCATTTGGTTCAGTTGATGATTTTTCACTACTTATATCTGTAGCTTGTGCAGAAGTACTTTCAAAAGACATAGCTGAATTTGTTGCAATGGTACCTTTGGTAGATGTTTCTACATTTGGTAAAGTTGATGACTTTTCAGTACTTAAATCTGTTACTTGTGCAGAAGTACTTTCAGTAGAAATAGCTGAAGTTGTTGTAATGGCACCTTTGGTTGATGTTTCTACATTTGGTTCAGTTGATGATTTTTCAGTACTTGTATCTGTAGCTTGTGCAGTAGTGCTTTCAATAAAAGTAGAAATTGTTGCAATGGTACCTTTGGTAGGTGTTTTTGCATTTTGTTCAGTTGATGATTTTTCACTTTTTATGTCTGTCGCTTGTGTGATTTCAATAGAATTAGAAGTTGTCGCAATGGTTTCCTTAGATGTTTCATCATTTTGTTCAGTAGATGATTTTTCAGTACTTATATCTGTAGCTTGTGCAGAAGTACTTTCAATAGAATTAGAAGTTGTTGCAATGGTACCTTTGGTAGATGTTTTTGTGTTTTGTTCAGTTGATGATTTTTCAGTACTCATATCTGTAGCTTGTGCAGAAGTACTTTCAATATAATTAGAAGTTGTTGCAATGGTACCTTTGATAGATGTTTCTGTGTTTTGTTCAGTTGATGATTTTTCAGTACTAATATCTGTACCTTGTGCAGTAGTACTTTCAGTAGAATTGGAACTTGTTTCAATGGTACCTTTTTTAGAAATTTCTGCATTTTGTTCAGTTGATGATTTTTCAGTACTTGTATCAGTAGCTTGTGCAGAAGTGCTTTCAATGGTACCTTTGGTAGAAATTTCAGAATTTTGTTCAGTTGATGAAGTTTCATCATTTGGTATAGTTGATAATTTTTCAGTACTTATATCTGTTACTTGTGCAGAAGTACTTTCAATAGAATTAGAAGTTGTTGCAATGATACGTTTGGTAGATATATCTGTGTTCGATTCAGTTGATGATTTTTTAGTACTCATATTTGTACCTTGTGCAGAAATACTTTCAGCTGAATTAGCTAAAGTTGATGCTATTGTATCTTTGGAAGAAGTTTCATCATTTGGGTTAGTTGATGATTTTTCAGTACTCGTATCTGTAGCTTTTGCAGAAGTACTTTTAATGGAATTAGAAGTTGTTGCAATGGTACCTTTGTCAGATGTTTCTGAATTTTGTTCAGTTGATGATTTTTCAGTACTCATATCTGTAACTTGTGAAGTAGTATTTTCAATAGAATTAGAATTTGTTGCAATGGTACCTTTGGTAGATGTTTTTGTGTTCACTTCAGTTGATGATTTTTCAGTACTCATATCTGTAGCTTGTGCAGAAGTACTTTCAATAGAATTAGAAGTTGTTGCAATGATACCTTTTGTATATGTTTCTGCATTTTGTTCAGTTGATGATTTTTCAGTACTCATATCTGTAGCTTGTGCCGAAGTACTTTCAATAGAATTAGAAGTTGTTGCAATGATACCTTTTGTAGATGTTTCTGCATTTTGTTCAGTTGATGATTTTTCAGTACTCATATCTGTAACTTGTGCAGAAGTACTTTCAATGGAATTAGAAGTTGTTGCAATGGTACCTTTGGTAGATGTTTCTGTGTTTGCTTCAGTTAATGAATTTTCAGTACTTATATCTGTACGTTGTTCAGAAGTACTTTCAATAGAATTAGAAGTTGTTGCAATGGCACCTTTGGTAGATGTTTTTGCATTTTGTTCAGTTGATGATTTTTCAGTACTCATATCTGTAACTTGTGCAAAAGTACTTTCAATAGAATTAGAAGTTGTTGCAATGGTTCCTTTTGTAGAAGTTTCTGCATTAGGTTCAATTGATGGCTTTTCAGTACTTATATCAGTAACTTGTGCAGAAGTATTTTCAGTATAGATAACTGAAGTTGTTGCTACAGTATCTTTGGTAGATGTTTTGTCATTTGTTGCAGTTGATGTTGCTTCACTACTTATATCTGTAACTTGTGCAGTAGTGCTCTCAATGAAATTTTCTGAAGTTGTTGTAATAGCAGTTTTAGTAGATGTTTCTGTATTTGATTCAGTTGATTCTACAGTAGAGGTTTCTTTGGTTGTAATCACTGTAGCGCCTAATGAAGGATCTTGAGATGCTGTTGAGCTTACTATATCGTTGTTCTTAGATGTAGTTTCTGAATTGACATTAACTGTTGAACCTATATTTTCTTGACTGGTTGTTATTTGATTTGTCATTGTTGTTGTTCCAACCTTTGCTGTCAAAGGCTCTGTAACAGGTTGTGTGAATATTTCGTTGACATCAGTACTTTCAATTTCCACTCTTGAGGTCTCTATGCTAGGGGTTGAACTTTTTGAAATGGAATCAGTACTTGAGCCTAAAGTTGATGCTATTGTTTCTGTGTTGGGTAGAGGTTTATCAACATTTGGTAGATTTGAATCAGTACTAGTAGTTGGTGCTCTTGTTGCTAATACTAATGGTGGTCTAGTTTCTAACTGATCAGCAATATCAACCAATATTCCATCCTGATACAAATCCAACATTAAGGAAAAGTTAAGATTTTTTGTCTGATCAAGTATAAATCAGATATAATTGTTCTCTATATACGTGACTATGTGCTTTATGTACTGCAGGGAAACATATATGGATTATCAGAACTGAACACTTTTAAACCTAGAAAAACGACAAAATCTTCCACATAATTGATCAAATATTTTGAATTGGGCATTGCCAATTGCCATCTTTGCTTGAAGAGTCCCTTAAAATTGCGCTAAAAGTCCCCTTGCCTTAAACACATTTGCTTGCTTTGTTTCTTTCAGTTCTGATTTTAATCACAAATTCAGCTGATTTAGATTAGATTTAGATTAGATTTAGATTAGATTTAGATTAGATTTAGATTAGATTTAGATTAGATTTAGATTAGATTTAGATTAGATTTGAACAGAAATCTTTCTGCTACAGCTACAGGAGATCATTTTCTTTTTAAATTGTTCAATGACAAATTTTTTTATTTTTGTGTTTAAATTATTGATTTTTTTTGCCAATAACATAACTTAATGGTAAAAAACAACTGTTTTTAGATGGGATAGAAAAGAGTATACCTTCAACACAACTGGATTTGGTTCTGTACCGGACTCGTAAACCTAAATCCAGAAAAAATCCAGGAAAATAAAATGATCAGAGCTGAAAACTATAGAATTGGATAACCCTTAATACGGATCGCTTAATCTGAATATCCACTGTGGACACTTTTGATTTCTGTTTAATCCGTTTGTTTTCCTCTTTTCGAATATCCCTACCAGATTCTGACCAATGATAATTCTCTCAATAAATGGCGCGCAAAATGGCTCTTTAGAATTTTGCATATGCCACTCTGATTGGTTAGATTTATACACTTTCCTGGATACAAACTAAAGATTAAAAACATTTTAAATTAACAAAAAGAGGAGATCAAGCATTGATCCCAATATCCACAATTCTAAAGTTTTCAGCTCCGGCTATTTGATTAACATTACATTACATTTTTACAATTAGACCCCTATATTTTCATTGGAGACCCCCATATTTTCATTGGAGACCCCATATTTTCATAGGAGACTCCCATATTTTCATTGGAGAACTCATATTTTCGTCGGAGACCCCTATATTTTCATTTAAGACCCCCTTATTTTCGTCGGAGACCCCCATATTTTCATCTCCATATTTTCGTGGGAGACCCCCATATTTTCATAGGAGACCCCAACATTTTCATAGGAGACCCCCACATTTTCAAAGGAGACCCCCATATTTTCATTGGAGAACCCAAAATTTTAGTTTGACACCCCCATATTAAGGGTTCCCAATGAAAATCCTAACGAAAATATGGGGATCTCCAACGAAAATATGGCGGTCTCCAATGAAAATATAGGAGTCTCCGACGAAAATATGGGGGTCTCCGACGATAATATGGGGGTCTCCGACGAAAATATGGGGGTCTTCAATAAAAATATAGGGATCTCCAACGAAAATATGGGGTCTCCAATTAAAATCTAGAGGTCTCCAATGAAAATATGAACAAGACGTCCAAGGGGTCTCCAATGAAAGGGGATCTCCAATAGTACTTTAATGATGATGATTTCTTCCCAGACTAGGTTTTACTTTGAAGACTTTAACTTTTATAAATCCCTAATTAGCAGGGTTAATTTTAATTCTTTTAAATACTTACAAACCTTGAGCTGAAGTAGGCTCAGACCTCCATTTCTTTTTTGTACAGACCTAGCAACCTTAACAACTTGTGTTAGTTTAGTTTAAACAATAAAGAAATTGAGTCTTTATAATCCCTATAACTTCGCAATCTGATGGTGTAAACCTTTGATATTTCAAACTTAGATTATTTTACCTACCAGAATTCACAGATCAAATATTTAAGGTCTACGCCAATGGGTTGCAAAGTCATAGGGATATAAAAATCTGAGTTTGGGGGGAAAGACTCAACTCCTTTAAAGGGACACTGCTATCGTAATTTAACGTGACCATTTCTTGAAAGATTTGCCCTTTAAACCTGCGGCCGAGACAAAATAATAGAGTTATAAAAATAGAGTTTTTTCCTTAACTGGTCAGGGTGCTAGGAAGGCTTTAAAATAGATTCAAAAAGCTAACTATCACTTTTATTTGACAATTATTAACATCGGCACGTTATATATTCTTCAAATTATACATTTTTTATTAAGAAATTAGATTTTGATCGAAATAAGAAAAGAATATTAGGGATTTTTACAAATTTTTACATCCCCAAAATTAGCTGCTCTAAATTTCAAAATGCTCATAATTTGATAAAAGTAAAAAACCTTGAAAAACTTGATTTTGAATAATCCAATGGACATTATAGAGACAGCAATTGTGCAGTGGACACAGACCAATTTTATTTTATAGTTGATTCTTAGACTAAAAGTAAAAAGACTAAAGATATTTGTTTTTTTTTAACACTTGGAATACTGCTTTAATGTAGTCTTCCTAGCCCAGACTTTTCAGGTTCTTACTGTAAGTTTTAAATAACAATTAAAATAGGTTAGGATTTGTGTATAGGCTTGGGATTGGGAGTTGGGCTTTGTTTACAAACGATTTAGATTGTAAAAAAAACTTACTGAAACTTTGTAGATGGCAAAATCTGTGTTAGAGAACTGCATCCGAACAGTTCTTCCTCGATCCGATATTTCATAATCCAAAGTCCTTGAAAACATTTAAAATAAAACCTTGTTCACAGAACAGTCAAACGGTTGGTCAATGTTTAAAAAATAAAAAAGTCTATATATCATTTTTATTAAGTAAGTCACAGAATTAAAACTAATTTAATAGTTTAATCATTTAATAACATGTTAATATTTGTCCAAAGTAAAAATAACTATTTTTTCACATTTTTCCAACGTACTTTTTTAACCTTTATTAAAGCCTCTCTGGCACCCTAAGTTAGAGATCGATTTTTTTCATGTGCTGGCCTTGAAAAGTTGGATTAAGGTAGAGATGGGCAGGTTCAACTTTTTTTCATTGTTCGTGAACGACCCATTTCGTTGTTAAATTTTTTTTTACTTACTTGAATCCATCCGCCGTGTTCAAAATGGTTGAAAGTAAAATCACAAAGCATGCCAATTTTAAGAATGTTGTGATGAAACTATTTCCTTTTATTTCACGCCATTTAATCATTAATCTTGTAGTGCAGCAGATATTTCGAAAAGTTGAGAGAAATATGGAAGATTTTTGAACTGGCCGATTTGAGGAATTAAGTTCTGTCTTGATTGTATCCCATTCTGTATCCTAAATTAAAATATAACATATTTAAATTTATATTCAAAGAAAAAAAAGAGAATTTACAATTGTACTTTACAAGGCATATATAACATGAATTGAATATGCGGAACAATTTTTTTTCCTTTCAAGCATTTTATTATATTTTTGCTGAGGATAAACATTTTGCATAGTTTAATTAAAGAAAACTTCTAAAGACATTGTTTTCCTTTTAAAAATCAAATTTAAAAAACAAACAAATTAACTAGTCATCATTACATGTATTATTAGGGTGGGAGCCCCCGGCCGCCATGAGCCTCCGCTTTGCATCATGAGAGCCTCACCGATTTGCCAGGCAGTACAAGCCTCTTCTATACAGTAATTATCATGCGCAATACACAGGGGGCGGAAATGTCATGTATATGTGTGTGTACCAAAGGATTGTCTGTAAGTAATAACGAACTATAGGCGTGTACTGTATCTCGGTATTTGTACAGTCTAGGAGAGTTTATTGTTAATTTTACTTAAAAATAAGTTCAATACACATGTAATATATCATTTATGTATTTAAGTCAACGCCATAAGCCAAATTTTCATGTAAAGAATATAATTGGATTAAAGTTTTCAATAAACTACTTGTTATTCAAGCTTAATTGAAATTGACCACATTGTTCTGCAATTTCCTTGACTAAAGTCATGTTGTGTGTCTGTTCCAAAAGAGTGTGCATGTGTAATAACGAACTCGTCTGCAAAGCAGTGCGACTGGCTTTCTCATGACCAGCGCCATTTCCTTTCCCTGACAATCATCAAAATGTGCCTGCGTGTTACAAGATGTTGTTTTAACTAATGTTTTAAGGCTCTATACTCTATGGCGGAGGCTCGCACTGCACATCAAATCTGGGAGGCTTGGTCTGCACAACGGAGGCTCATTGCGGCCGGGGTTCCCTCCTGTGCATGATATACCTTAGTCATATTCCGATTAGATGGTAGTTGTAACAAGGATACTATTTGCTGGCTCAGGCCAGCTTTTCTCCAGCATTTCTTTAGCCCACTCTGAAATCTCATTGCATCTTGTATCAGATGATAATTGGCAAACATTTTCAGAATCGAATTTAGTCTTTGACAGAAACTCTTTGTAACCAAATGTCGTAGACCTTAGATATTTTAAACTATCAATTCTGATCAAATATCACCATCAGGTTAAAAGTTATAGGGGTTTGAAAATTTTCGCTTGTGGCTGCAAAAAAAAAACCCTTAAAAAGGTTGGAGAGTCTTTTCAGTTGGGAACGTTTTAATTTAGTACACAGTACACACATGCTGAACTAGACAGACGGAAAAGGTAAAATATGTTCGTCATTATAAATATACTTGCACGACTTTGTGACCAAGTAGTTTCTCTACTTTTGATTTTGTACCCTTCCAAAATCTACAAAAAAAATTTCTTACTAGTCAAAAATTCAATTTGCAAATCTTCTTAAAAACTTCTTTAACATTTTTTTTTAAATTTTAAAAAAGTTTTTATAAAAGAAAATTATTTTAATAGTATTACAGTATTCCAATTTTTCTAACTTTGGGATTCTTGGGTCCCGGGGAAATCTTTAATAACTTGTTTGATTTATTTGGCAAAAAGTTTAAAAAATAAAAATATAATATTTTATAAATGAAATTTAAAGATTCAATGAGATACACCTTTTACGTGGTATTGGAGTACGGTAAGGATCCATACTGAGCCCAAATGTTTTAAAGTTCTGTTAAATATAACAAAAGAAGAGAATTCTTTTGTTAAGTACATTTAGAGAGGCCAGGGATTCGGTGTTCTAAATTCCATTTTTACGACTTTTAAAACAAAGTTAATTAATTTTTTGTGGTGAAAGTACAATCAACAACGCCCACTTATTAAGCGAAGGACAGACGTTTTCTGAACAATACTTCTTTTCATATGCTTTGCAAAATTTAGTATTTTGTGCTAAAATAATCAAATTTCGAAATTTCTATTGTTGATTTTGTAAACTGACATTATACATTTAGGTCGATCTTGATTCTTTGGTCCTTTAACATAGAATAAAACAAGACTTGATCTTCAGCCTGGTGTAGCTGAGAGAAGGAGTCTAATCCCTAATGGGTATACAAGCCATGCACAACAATATTTATAATTATATTTCAAGCCATTTCAAGTTTTTTTATACATTTCAATTAAGACATAAAATTATTAAAACATGGAAATGGGTCTTAACAGAGATTTAGTGTGGCATCACAAAGAGAAAGCCCACTTAATAGCCTACTTTTTTCATGTGAATTTCCAGTGAAAATAAAAACAAACAATTTTTTGTTACCATTTGGAAAGAAAAGTACAATAATATTAAAAACCAGAAAACATTAGAATGAGAAGACGACATTATAACAATACTGTGTATTTGATGCTGTTAAAAAGCAAATAGTTTTACTAGACACTTACTAAATCAATAATTAAGTGAGGGGTCTGTTTACACCATATAATTGTTCCACGGTTTTTTGGTTATCACTGTATATGCAAATTTGATCACCCTATTTTTCTTTTTTACTTTTTAGCCTGCAAGTACAAGTGTTTAAAGGTTGCATGCTTTTACAATATTGCAGAACTCTTGTACCATTCAAGTGTTCTTTAACCGACCTTTCACATAAATTCTTTTAAACCTGTAGACATTAGGATTAATCAACTGCTTTAACTTTTACTTATATTAAAGTTCCAATTTTTTTCTTTTATTTAGTATAGGACTAATTATAGGGAAGCACAAGGTTTAATTGCTTTTTGGTCCTTATTGGAACAAACTCTTCAAGTATTGGTTCTGTTGATTCCAAAGAAATTCACTTTTTGCCACAAACTCCAATTTTTAAAATTCCCTTTATCGAACCGGATGCAGTAAACCTATGATATTTCAAACTTGGAATATTTAATCTAATATAATTCATAGTTTGAAATGTAGTTGTTGAGTTATGAGGATTAAACAATCAAAGTTTGTGACAAAAACTAGAAAAATTCTTTAAAAATAAAATCAAATCTAAACTGATCGAAGAATACAAGGGATAATAAAAATAAATAGATGAAAAGATTTCAGATATGAACATTTACACAAGATGAAAACACTTTCTTGGGAGTCGGGGAAAAATCATTATCATTGGATTAATAACGATCTAAGACCACGGGAGTACCCAGATTTTCATTGCAGACCTCCCGATTATCATTGCAGACTTCAAGATTTTCATTGTAGACCTCCAGATTTGCATTGCAGACCTCCAAATTTTCATTGCAGACCTCCAGATTTTCATTTCAGACCTTCAGAATTTCATTGCAGACCTCCAGATTTGCATTGCAGACTTCAAACTTTTCATTACAAACCTCTAGATTTTCATTGCTGACCTTCAGATTTGCAATGCAGACCTCCAGATTTGCTTTGGAGAACCCAGATTTGCATTGCAGACTTCAAGATTTCACTACAAACATCCAGATTTTTATTGGAGACCTCCAGAATTTCATTGGGGACCCCAAATTTGTACTGAATATACCAAGGTTTTCATCAGATATTTATTTAAGAACCCTACATTTTCTAAAAAAAACTCTGATTTTTACTATCCATATATATGTCGTAGACCTTAGATATTTCAAACTGTGAATTCTGTTAGATCAATTAATTTTTTGGAATATCAATGGTTTACATCACCAGGTTGCAAAGATATAGGGATGAGAAAATTTAAGTTTGAAACAAAGACTTGATTCAAATATGCTTGAAAAACGACATTGTATACATGCTTGCATTGTCTTTGTACTTTATAAGTTTTCAAAAATTCTTTTAAAAACTTAGCGTCCCCCTAGTACAACCTAACTTAACATAGCATTGTGCATATTTTCTTGCCCTTTTGCAATAAATTATAATCATCAAGGTTGAATTCACACTTCTCAAAAATTATCCTTTTTTAGTGTTAATTGTTTTATATTGATTTATTGTAGACTGAATGATGATAACGAATTATATAAAAAACATTTAGTAAAAATGAGAGCAATACAGCATGTATATGTTTTAATCATTTCAAAACAATTTCAGACATCAAAACCAATTTTAAAACATCTAAATTTTTTAGTTTACATACAGTGAATCCCAGATATATGAATACATAGCCAGTTTTTTAAAATGTCGTATTACGTATTTAAGATCAAATGCCGTGGAAAAATGAGTTTAATATTAATAAATCAATTGCATTCATATTTCAGGGCTGTTAATTTATCTTGAATTAAACATAAAAAGAAGTTTGTTTAGAATTATCAAAAAACTTATGACGGTCTATGTATTCATATATTTGGGATTCACTGTAAGTAAATGTGGATTTAGCTCTGCAATATATAATTGAAGGGGGAAAACGCAAAAAAAAGCTTTCCTCGCAAAAGTCGTCTTTCTATCAAATTATCACATTATTTCTTCTATAGACAATTATAATTTTCAAAGTGTCTAATCAACCTACTTAAAAGATATCGGCAATTGTCTCCAAACTTTGGTTTTAATGTCTAAAATTGTGTGGAAAGGGGGTAGGCTCTCTACGCAAAGAACCGGCTAATAAAAAAATTATTAATTTAACATTTTTTAAGAAACAGATTAACCACCTTCAACATTTTCTACTTAGATTCTGAGGATTCTCAACGGGGGACAATTTTCCCCGTAATTCGGATCGGGGGACCGGGGGTAATCAGCGCGAATGAAGGGGGGGGGGGGTTCACATAGTTCTTGGTGAAGAAATCGTGAGATTGAAATAATGCCATATATAGATTTAGCAAATAGAATGCTTTAATTGTCTTTTGTCCAAATGTGACCCCACCCTGCATCAACAAAACAAATGATGACCCCCCCTTCCCCCGACCCCCCTCTCAGCTATCAGTATCTGTACTATAACCTTTGCCTTTGTTCTCAGCATCCCCCTCGCCCATTTCTCACAGCAAAACGAATTTATAAAAATCAAAAATGAAAAAAAAATATTTTTTGTGCAAATATAAGAAAATAATAAGGCTCACCTTTTCTATTATTGTTATTGGTTTTTGTGCCAAATTGTTGATGCTACGTACTTGATCAGTTTTCAATTTAAAAAAGGGGTAATTATTTATTTATTTACTATAGTGCCCGTGCCCGTCGGTGCCTGTGAAATTTTAAAACACTTCGGGGAATTTTATTTTAGCCTTTGTCACTATTGTCACCGGACTTAACATTAGCCGTTTAGCCAGCTATAGCATACATATAATTATGTATGTACACATATAAATATGTATATGTAAATATGTACGACGAACATTGTACGTACATACGTATAAATATGTACATGTAAATATGTACATATAAATATGTACATGCTCGCTGAAGTGCCCGGCGTTGTCCGTGGAATTCTTAAAACACTTTTTTAAAAGATCTAATTTTGAAAAATACTCGATTTTATATAATCATATAAACATGAGCGAAGAGACGTTTTACAAAGAACTACAAAGAAATGCCCGGCGCTGCCCGTGAAAAAAAAATTCGAATTTTTGAGACATTTCCCCCCCCGATTTTTTAACAGTTTCCGAAGAAAAATGTCAGCCAATTTATTTATATAAATTCTTTAATTTTGAAAGAAAAAACTTCGAATTTAGAGCTGATATACATATGAGCAAAGAGCTTTATAATATGTTTTAAGTTTTACTAATATTCTATACCAGAAAACTGCAGTACAATAAATGGTTGTAAACAAAGTTTGAAAAAGATTAAAAAAACTTCACTGAGCATAGAAAAGAGGCCTTAGAGAAAAGGTCATGGAGTTGCATTTCATGATCACAGTAAAATTTTACAAGGCCAGCTCATTTAAAGAAAACATTTTAACAGTCTGATCATACATACAGGGTGTCCCAATAAACATGGGAATTCAGTGACGAATTCGATATCGTCTTTTTAAAGAATTCTTTGATTAAGTTTAGTGATACCTACTGAGAAAGCTGTACTCTGTAAGATTTTCGTCTGCTGGTTTAGAATTTGTTTGTTTATGTGTGGACTGCATACAATTGTACTTAGTAAAACAAGACAGTATATAAATAGAGTAAACTTGTCCGTCTTCACTGTTCATCTTGCGGAGACATTATAAAACAATTCTTTACAGTCTTTTACCCTTTTCATACAATAAACTCTAACAGACATAATAATATTATGGCTTTTGAAATTAGGTATTACCATGCTAATTCATAACAAAGACGATATTCAATTCGTCACTGAATTCCCATGTTTTTGGGACACCCTGTATAATGACACACTGCTTGCTTTGTATATATTCGGTGAGACTTGTGTTTTTAAAGCGTTGTGTTTTATCTCAACTAAATCACATTCACGGAAATTAGAAGAAGAAAAGAAATAGGCCACCTTCCTTTAATTTTTAAGTATCTCATCAAAAACTAGTTGTTAAGAATGAGCATAGAATATAAGGGCACCACATAGGTTCAGCTTATTAACAGTCTCATCAATTTTTAAGACCGGGTTGACTTGAAGTGTTGCTACACCCTTAGCTTAGGTTTTACCGCTCTATCTCACTTATGCTTTTCTGTTGCCCTTTACATTTACATTTTAGCAATAAAGCACTTTTTATTAACTTTAAATTTTTATAATTAATTAGCAAAATTCTCGACGATTTTTGCTAGAGAGCGTGAGGCCAGTGGCACGGTTTGATAAATCTCTGTGAGAATGAGGGGGGGGGGGTGGTGTAGAGGCCCACCTTCCTTTAATTTTTAATTATCTTATCAATAACTGGTTGATGTGAACGGGCTAGAATATATGGGCACGGTTAGATAAATCACTGTCAGAATAATGGGGGGGATGGGTCTCAATGGGACTGACGTTTATATCAAGTTACCCTAAACTCAATGTGTACACTGTACAGTGTCTGAGTCACAACGGTACACTCTATATCCTTTATCCCAATAAGAAAGATATACCTTCGGTTTTTACGTGCTGCAAATTACTACAGAACGCACCGAAACGATACATGTAAGACATCTATCTGATGTTCTTGTCTCGAGAAATCACGTGACCAGTGTACTGCACTGCCATTGGCTGAAGTTCTGGTCACGTAAAACGGATTATACAGAAGAAATGAAATAATATTGTCTGTTATATCTATTAAAAATGCAAAATATAAATTAAAAAGTTATGATAGGAGCAAACCTGAGATTCTCCGGCTCCTGTGGGATATAATCGTTTTCAGATTTGTTGCGTATTTGCTGAAAATGATCTGTTCTAACCTACAACTTTTTTACAAAATTGTATAAATTTGACACAGTTTTTTTTTATCAATTTCTCGTGAGGGAAACATCAGATAGATGTTTTATATGTATCGTTCAACGCCTGAGATTCTCGGGTTTTATCCTATACCCCCTTTAATTTTTCCTTTACAGTCCCTTTAAGAAACTTTGAATATAGAATATAGATTAAAAAAAACATAGATTAAACACGATTATTAAAGGCGCTATAACATGAATCTACGTTTTTGGGACTTTCTTTTAGTTTTCACGAAACTCCCAAAAAAGAGCTGGATACTGAAGAAATAAAAATGAACATTGAATACAGGCTCATCCATGAAAGAATTGTTGGTCTTCCTTTATGGGAACCTCGTGTAGTGTTTACATGATATGTGTTTAGATTCTGAACTAAATGATAGGAAACTGACTCAAATTTGTTATTTAATATGCGAACCCCGCTGAGTAATGGTAACATTACGCACTGATGGTTAGACTCGAGATGGGCATCGATTTATTTGAACAAACTAGATTTTAAAAAACAAATGAAAATGATTTTGTTCAGAAAAAAACAATTGACTAACAACTTGGATCGTTTAGAGAAATGCAAAAATGATTGTGCTTTAAAAACGAACGAAAAAAACAAAAAGAATTTACAGATTACAATTTTGTTCGTTATTTTTAATTTATTGAACAAACGATGTTACTGAACGATTATTCAGCAAGAAAATAAGCGAAAGAGATGGAAAATGAACTATCGTTTTGAGAACGAATTCATTCAATTTGTTTTTGAACGATTAAAAATAGGAACAAACTGGGTCGTTCACGAACGATGAACAAAGAAATGAAAAAAAAAATCCGAATGCGCCTATCTCTAGATTAGACCTTGGATTGGATAGTAACCATTATATATATATACTTTGCTGTCTGTTTGTTAGTATCCAATAAACGTTATAACAGTTGAACTGCTCGATCACAAATTTTTGGAGCAACTCAAATCTTAGATAAAGATAGATTGCGCATAAGACGACATTTTGCATCTTGAAAGATATAAATGTACAGAGATGTTTTCAAGATATTCCTATTATATAGATTAACTAGGTCAGTTGTGAACATTGGCTGTTCTTATGTCATTGAGTACTTGTGGTGTACATGAGTTCTGTAGAGAGAAATTTAAGTTAGTTTAAGCCTTCTCATGTCCTTCTTCAGTTCTCGTCAATATGATATGCTCAGTGAAATTTTGTTGTGAACATTAGCTGTTCTTATGTCATTGAGTACTTGTGGTGTACATGAGTTCTGTAGAGAGAAATTTAAGTTAGTTTAAGCCTTCTCATGTCCTTCTTCAGTTCTTGTCAATATGATATGCTCAGTGAAATTTTGTTGTTCAAATAGTTCCATTCCCGGAGTTATTTTACACTCTATTATGAAATCCATTAAAACACTAAACCACCCTGCTTAGTATATTAGTATATGATTTTTTTTAATGAAATTGTTAGCTGCAAAGTTGACAACTTCTTCTTGTGGCTGACAAAATGAAAAAAAGTTGTAAGGTTTTTCTTGCTAGTATTCATTAATAATCAGCTAAAAAAAATTTGAAAAAAATATTCATTTTATCTTTCTAGGGAACGTTTTAAAACTGAATTTGTTTCCACAGTATTTGAAATTAAATAAGTAAAGACTGTGGCGAACTGTAGGAAATAATTATTGGTATGTACTATGTAGAAACTTGTTGAAAAATTACAGATGCCTGAAGTTGCCCCATTTTTAGCTACCACTAAGACACAAAGAGATGATTAGATGATAGATTTAGATAAGTGTTTTTGACTTAAAATATCGCTTCACTGTTAAATAAATAACTAATATTTCGGTACATAAAATCTAACTTGCTAGTATTGGTCAGAATGCATTCTGCATGCTACTGGTGAATTTAGCCTGCAATTCATAGGTTTGTTTTGCATGCATAGGATGCATAAACCTGAACTTTGGCCTGAAAATCGTTTCATTGAACCAGAAAATATAAATCTATATTAGGTTGATATTTAAAAAAAAGTTTGAGAGCATGCATCTAACATGCATAAAAAAATGCACACAAATCAACTTTTACCCTATATATGGATTCGTTAATGACAAAACAAAAAGTTGACATAAATCTATTTTTAATAGTTATCATGAAGATGCGATGCGAAGATGCGATGCATCCCACATGCATGCCGATTAGTACTGTATTAGAAATGAATTTCTTAGTCCCATAAGAGTTATTTCTAGAATTGATTTTGTAAGCATCTAAGCAGCAATTTAGTTTCAATTTTTTAGACACTTAGAGCCAAAGCTATGATGCTTGAGCTCTCAAATTATTATAAAGTTGCTGATTTTTAAAGAAAATAGTTCAAACGAGCAAATATTATGTTAATTTAAACTACAGGATAGGACGTCATATCAGTAATGCAAATGAACAATAGTTCAAACGAACAATAGTTCGAGCGGCAGTAGTTCAAACACATATCCACCAAAATTTCAGCCAAATTTGATTTTATTATCAGTGTTTAAAGGATTGCAAATTTATAGAATGCAGAAGTGATAAAGAATTTACTTTAAAATAATTTTTAAAGAAAATATGTAATGATTGAAAAAGTTCCAGGGATTATTAAGTTAATACCTTCATTGCGAATGGAAGATTTAGTTCAATTTACATAAAGCGAAACATGAAATTTTGCGGAAATAATAATGAGTAAAAAAAACCGATTTTTCAAATATATTACAAATTATCATCATAATAGAGCAATAAAACAACCTGTTATAGGCTGACTTTATTATGGTTAACGAAGTTTGGTAAATAAGGGGGTTAAAGTCTTGTAATCATATAAAAAGTAACCCTTCCTTAACTAAATTTTGATTTCAATCATGGGGGTAATGGACTGCTGCAACCCCCCCTCCCCTTAAATTAGGGGGTTAAAGTCTTGTAATCATATAAAAAGTAACCCTTCCTTAACTAAATTTTGATTTTAATCATGGGGGTAATGGACTGCTGCAACCCCCCCTCCCCTTAAATTAGGGGGTTAAAGTCTTGTAATCATATGAAAAGCAACCCTTCCTAAACTAAATTTTGATTTCAATCATGGGGGTAATGGACTGCTGCAACCCCCCCTCCCCTTAAATTAGGGGGTTTAAGTCTTGTAATCATATGAAAAGCAACCCTTCCTAAACTAAATTTTGATTTTAATCATGGGGGGTAATGGACTGCTGCAACCCCCAACCCCCCTAAAGCCGCCTATATAACTTTAAATTGTTTGTTGGTCTTGGTACAAATACAGATTAAGACAAGATATGGAATGCATGTAGAATGAATCCGATCATTCCTTCGAGAAGGAGGGGTTACTACTTGTTACATCCCACTCCAAGTTCAGCTGTGAGAAGTGAACACGAATTGAAGAATTCAGTTCTTGTCTTTTCGTTCAATATTTTCTACAATTTCATCCCTACAAAAACCAAAGAAACTTATAATTTTCCGATGCATTAATAAATTTTGATTACATTCTAGACCCAAATAAAAAAACCGAATTTCTAGCCACAAACTCCAATTTTATAACTTACTAGCTGAAAGACCCGGCGTTGCCCGTGAAATTTTTTTTAAATTTTGAAAAAAAGAAATTTCAAATTTTTTGGCCTATAACACTCCCCGCCCACCCATGAGTGTCCAAAAAAAATATCAGCCCAATCAGTCCGGCCGTTTGGTCGGCTATACGCATTACACAACATATATTGTCTTATGTTTATTATATAGATTAATTAATTAATCTTGATAATATTTGCAAATATACAGGTATGAGAAAATTGTTTTTTTGAGGCGAAATTTGCCAGTATTTTTTATTGTCAAGTAATCCTTTATAACCCTCCAGGGCTGCATTTCAGTCAAATTCTTTTTAAAATCTTAATTTGATCCGACCCATAGATACATTTTCCCCCTAGAAAGACAAAAAACTGTTTTTTTTTATTTAGGTTTTTTTGGTTTCCTGTGTTTTATGTAAGATAGGAAAACATCCCAGACAACGGTCACCATATTCACGTACAGTACACGGTATTGGGGAGGTACATAGCTAGAATAGATAACATTCACTTACAGTACACGGTATTGGGCAGGGGCATAACTAGAATAGATAATATATTCACGTACAGTACACGGTATTGGGCAGGTACATAACTAGAATAGATAATATATTCACGTACAGTACACGGTATTGGGCAGGTACATAACTAGAATAGATAATATATTCACGTACAGTACACGGTACTGGGCAGGTACATAACTAGAATAGATAACATATTCACGTACAGTACACGGTATTGGGCAGGTACATAACTAGAATAGATAATATATTCACGTACAGTACACGGTATTGGGCAGGTAAATAACTAAAATAGATAACATTTTCACATACAGTACACGGTAAAGGGCAGGTACATAACTAGAATAGATAATATATTCAGGTACAGTACACGGTACTGGGCAGGTACATAACTAGAATAGATAATATATTTATCGTCAACCATCTAAATTAACTCAAATAGAAAACCAGTTGGATATCAAACAAATAATATACAAATCAAACAGAAATTAATCAGAAATCAAACAGAAATTTAGTAGAAATCAAACAGAAGTTTAGTAGAAATCAAACAGAAATCAAACAGAAATCAATGAGAAATCAAATAGAAATCAAACAGAAATTAATTAGAAATCAAACAGAAATTTAAAAGAAATCAAACAGAAATCAAACAGAAATCAAACAGAAATCAAACAGAAATTAGACAGAAATAAATCAGAAATCAAACAGAAATTAATCAGAAATTAAACAGATATTAATCAGAAATCAAACAGAAATCAAACAGAAATCAAACAGAAATCAAACAGAAATCAAACAGAAATCAAACAGAAATTAATCAGAAATCAAATAGAAACCAAACAGAAATCAAACAGAAATTTATCAGAAATCAAACAGAAATTAATCAGAAATCAAACAGAAATCAAACAGATATCAAACAGAAATTAATCAGAAATCAAACAGAAATCAAACAGATATCAAACAGATATCAAACGGAAATTAATCAGAAATCAAACAGAAATTAATCAGAAATAAAACAGAAATTTAAAGGAAATCAAACAGAAATTGAACGGAAATCAAATCTAATTAAAGTTCAGTTCGGAGTTCTATGATCTTGCTGAATATTCTGAAAAATCTGTTTTTGCAAATGTTGTGCTTAAAATCTTTTGATGATTCAAGGAGTATGGAATATGAGGAAGATAGAAACGACGCGGAGCGCCCTACCATAATATATTATACATGCCTTGCAGATGGAACATTTTTTGGATGCATAAGTTTGAGCAGTACAAGCGTATTTTTTTAATGGTATATGAACAAACCACATTTAAAAATTAAAAAACTCTTTATCAAGTGAAGTGCCCCGTCTGCAAAGCATGTATAATCATATGGTAGGGCGGGCCGCGTCGTTCCTATCTAGGGTTTCCACGAAATGGCTAAATCTTTTGCGCAAAATTTGCGCTATTTTCGAGCAAATTTTTTGTGCTATTTTTGCGCATGAAACGCAATGAGTTTTGCGCTATTTTTTTGCACAAGTTGCGCAAAATCGGAAATATTTTTTGCGAAAGTTGCGCATGAAACGAAATTTTAGTTTTGCGCAATTGCGCAAAACCACAAGTTTTACGCAAAATGTAACTTTTTAGGCAAATTGTCAAAAATTGATATTCTAAGCTTAGAATTAATTGTTCACTTCCAGTTACAAAAAGTTTAAATTAAGGGACCAAAATTAATAAAATAGAAATTTCTGAAATCTTTTTAATCTCATATAAAATAATGCAAGAAAGTAACCAATGCCTGAAGAATCCACTTTTAGGAAATATGCATGCCAAAACTAAAATTGTCGAGAAAATTGTGAGATTTGAACTTTTCTTAACTGTCATTGGTCAATTATGTAAAAGTGACCAAAAGGAAAACATTACAAAACAAGATTTTTCCAGAATTGAATTCTAAGAAACACACACCGTCACCAACCGTTAGATTTTTACGAAATTGCGGAATTGCACAAAACTATAGTTGCGGAATTGCGCAAAACTTGAGTTTCGCAAAAGCGGAATAGGGTAATTTTGCGCGAAATGACTTTTGCGAATGATTGCGCAATTTGCTATTTTTTCGCGCAAAACTGATGCGCAAAGAAAGAAAAATTTTACGTTTCGTTCCGCAAAAATTGCGCAAAAGTTTTGCGAATGGAAACCCTATTCCTATCTCCCTTATATTCCATACTCCTTGAGCTGATTCCTCAATTTTTATGATATCAATTTCATGAATGGGCATTGGGCACTAGGTGATGGCAAACTAGTATGATACTTTTAGTTGAACTTTATGACATCCCTTAGTTTGGAAGAGTTGAAAACATTACCTGAAGTTGATAAACTGAGTTGGAGGCCAGATTAACCAATCAAACAGATATATCGTCGGAAACTTGGTCTGAGTCAATATTCAGGGTTCTATATTATTCATCAAATATACTAGAACCACTATTTGCAGGGTTTATTCATTGTCAAAACTACTTAAAAAAATAAAGGAATTTACTTGTGTTAAATTATAAAAAGGGAGAAAAGACCTTGCCAGGTGATGTCATCTTCAAAAATCATTTTCAAAATATGCATCCCTCATAATATTTAAAATTCATTTTTCAACTATTTCAAGAATAATAACATTTCCTTAAATTCAGCCCAACAATAGCCTAAAGATCTTCCTTCTAACAAACTAGCACTGAAAACATACCAGTCAAATATATTCTATTAATTTACGGTGGTAAACAGAAAACGATAGAATATGTGTTGTCTTTTAATAAAGAAAATTCAAGGATTTTTTAGCAACTAATGTGGTTCTTTTATTGACAATTTTTAGAGACATGTCAGCTACAATTCATCAACCTTACGGCATTACACTGTATTCTTGAATTCACCGTAACGGCGTACTATGCAAGTGTAAATAATTACCCATATATGAATGTGATGGCGAAAAATGGTGCTGCAAATATTTGATCGAACATAATCTTCTTGAATACAACTTTTCCAGTTCTACCTTACATCAGGATTTTAGATCAGTTCGGTAGAAAAAAATAAAAATGAAAATGTTTTTGCTTTCGGCAAAAAAATTCGCAAGATTACAGTTAAATATTTCTTGGACGGGTTGAGGTCAGGACGCAACAAAAACTGATAATAATTAAAATTTTTTAGTAAATCATTTTTAGTATCCCCCCCCCCTTTTTTTCATTTTGAAAAAGGTAAGAATAGTATGCAAAAGAGAGGTCGTCAAAATAGGAAAATAGGATTTTCAGTTCCAAATTGGGGTTTATGAATTTCAGAAAATCTTCCACTGTTCCTCTTGGCGGATTAACATTAAATAATCCAGGATTTCTGGGGCGGATCTCAGATCATGATTTCCCAGGGCGGATCAATTATACAGGATTCTCAAGGCGGATCAAGAACACAGGATTCTCAGGGCGGATCAAAAATCCAGGATTCTCAGGGCGGATCCAGAATCCAGGATACTCAGGGCGGATCAGGTATCAAGGATTCTCAAGGCGGATCAAGAATCCAGGATTCTCAGGGCGGATCAAGAATCCAGGATACTCAGGGCGGATCAAGAATCCAGGATACTCAGGGCGGATCAAGAATCCAGGATACTCAGGGCGGATCAAATATCAAGGATTCTCAAGATGGTTCAAGAATCCAGGATTCTCAGGGCGGATCAAGAATCCAGGATACTCAGGGCGGATCAAGAATCCAGGATACTCAGGGCGGATCAAGAATTCAAGATTCTCAGGGCGGATCAAGAATTCAGTGTGCGAATTTAATGAATTTGAGCCTTGTCTTAAATCCGCCAAAAACCGGTTTCAATTGAGCGCCGGCTTAAATCTTGAAACATTGAATACAATTTTATGTGAAACCAACCATATTTGAGCGACAGCTTAAATTTTAGCCACCGCTCAAATTCTTTAAATTTGGCCTCAGGATTCTCCGGGTGGATCAAGAATCCAGGATTCTCAGTGCGGATCTGGGATCCAGGATAATTTTGAGGGGATCTGAGATCCAGGATACCTTGGAGGGGATCTGAGATCCAGGATTCTAAGCGAGAAAAAGAGATCAAATGAATTCAAGTTAAAAATATAATCCTGAGTTGCCTGGAAGGTATTTATCCAGCAAAATGTAAAAATAATGATGTGGAGGACCCTGACTTAATCCAACTGTGCACATTCGTAAACATCTACAATAAGATAATCTTGTGAGGAAAAAAATGTTATAAAAAAAATCTTAAACGAGATGAAATAATCTTGATGTATTCTTCAACGAAGGACGCAGGCCTGAGTTAAAAATGCATCAAGATTATATTATCGAGTTTAAGAATTTCCATTTTCACATTTTTATCCTCATAAGATTTATATTTTATCATATTTGTGAGGTTCCATTAGCAAATACCTAAGAAATTATATTTTTAAAATTTCGTGTGAAATACGAATATATAAGGTTGGAACAATTGACATCATGAAGGGTTGCAAATAAGTTTTTATATTTCACTTATGCTCTTGTCCTCACTATTACTGCTTTTTTGTCTTATGCTCTCTTGTCTTGTCAATAAAAATTAATTTGATCTAATTTTTGTTTTTGAAAAGAGAAAAAAAACATTTACTTTTTTATAACATGATAGAAACTGGTCGAGATAAGTCGATAGTCAAATCCTTTAATTGATATTTCAGTTTTTATTTTTCCAAACCACTGCTGCTCGAACATTTTTTCAATTTTTTTCCATCAGAATACAAAATCAATTCTAACCTATTAACATCAAATTTATGTCCTTCCCGTCTTTGTTGGATTAAATCCCCTACAACCAGCAATCCTAAATAACGGCGTTAAAATCTTTCAGCTAAAATTTAGTTAACATGAACTGTAGGTGAATTCCAACGACGTTCATTTAATTAAAGAGTGACCGGAGATGAAGTTTAAAGAATTTAAGCCGCGGTTTAAATCCACCAAAACCCGGTTTAAATTAAGCGCCGACTTTAATCTTGAAACATTTGATACAATTTTAAGTAAAACCAACCATATTTAAACCGCGGCTTAAATTTAAACCGCCGCTCAAATTCTTTAAATTCGGCCACGGGTCAATTCTTATCTGTGCCTTTTCAAGCTTTGTTGGATCAATAATGAAAAAGGTCTCCATTGTTTTTCTTAGTTTTTATTAAAATTGTGTATTTTATCTTTTTTTGGACATTTTTTTGCAAACATTTTTACTATATTACTGGATTTTGCAAAAAATAAATTTTTGCAATTTTCTTAAGATTCTTAAAGTAAAGCATAAGCGCTTTCCAACGCTGTATCATTTGTCATATTTGGANCCCCACCTCAGCGTATCATAGCAGGGATAGGGTTAAAAATATTTTTTTCACCATGATCTTCATTAAAATTTTAATATATTTTGTTTAAAATTAGATTAATCTGCTTTTTATTATGAGGGCATTAAAATTCACAAATTAAATTGTTAAATCTATCTAAAAATTAAAAATAAACACTTTTCTAGACCTGCCAAACATGTTTATGTTTGGATTATTTTCAGGACTCCTGGCGGAGTATATAAGAAAATTTCAGATTGTTGTCATGATATTCATATGGATGCATATATCACATTAATATACAGAGTATATTATATTCAATAATTACGAATATCCAGTGAATCAAGATTAAAAATAAGGAACATTTATTTTTTTCTTTTGGTAGAGTTTTCATTTTTTCTTTTTTTATTTTTTGACATGTTTTTAAAAAAAATTTTCTTAGATTTTTTTTCTTATTTGGCCTTTCTGTTTTCTTTTAAAGTAATCTTTTTTCGGCTCTTTTTGTCCCAACAAATTAAACTAAATTAGAAATTTTTTACATATTTATCATATCTGGATTTAAAAGTATTTAACGTTGGTGCAGTTTTTATATCACAGGGTAAATCATTCCATGGAGAAACAACTCTTTGACTAAAAAAATGTTTACGAATATCGGTTCTACAAAATTTGGCACTAAGTGATATTAAAAAAATGTCTATCGCAAAACAGACGATTTGTAATTAAAATAAAAAATAGCAGACTAATGTGTAAATTCTAGCATGTCCAAAATAACTCGGCATATTGAACTAATGTAACCATTTACCTCCAGAACTGAGTGTATTAGCCAGGAGAAGATTCTTCCCAAAAGTGTGATGTATTTTCTGAACCATTCTCCACATATTAATATTCTGTAACATGAGGGGCAGCTTAATTAATCGGCTCCACCGTTCTCTAACATTTTATGACTAAAATAAAATTGGAAAAATACCCGACTAGTCGTCGTATCTGATATCAACAACTTTCTCCGGTTTAACTCCGTCCTTCCACTTGGGTCGAACCTTTATCTTACCGCGTAGAGCTCTCTGTCTCTCCATCTCTTCCTTGAAATCTTCATATTCATCCCTGAAATTAAATAACTTTTATTTGCAACAAAATTGGAAAAAAGGGCTTCCAATTAAGATTCAAGGGTTATGTCGTTCAAATATGAACATGTAGGCTCAAAATGTAAATAATACAATCATTGCAAATCTTAAAGTCACAATCCATTAAGGCTTAGTATATTCACTTCAAAATGGTTTAGTGGAAGGAAGTAGGACGTCACTAAAACTATGAGTTGATTTGATCCCTCGTTACATTATTTGCCTGTATCATGCCAACTTAATCCCTTTTATATGCTTTATATAACCCCATCTTTACTTCTACCTGGACCTTTATGTTACAATATTATTATATTATTATAAAGATTTATTCACACACAAAGATATAAATACATATATAAATGGTGTAGCTTAAATTTGTTTAAATAAATTTTTTTTTGAAAATACAGGTTTCCAAAAGAAAAGAGAAAAATATGCAAAATTAAGCACAAATAGAAAACATGGATTTTTACTCACTACATAACATATTTATCATTTCCGTTATTACGTAATCATCGAATCCTTGAACATATAAATTATTCATTCTTGTACTTAAAAGTTCTTGTAAAACCGGAACTTTCCATTCATGTTCCAATGGGACATCAAAATATTTCATTTGTTTCTTAACTAACATTTTACCAAGTTCAGATAGATTTACAGAACAATCATTTGCAATAGAAAATAAATTTCTGCCAAGAACTGTGTTGAGGTCATTTTTACATAAATTAGAAAGAAATCTAATGCAAAGCTTAGAACTTGCTTCAATAGTCTCATAGAAAGACACACATCTGCTAGCAGCTAACATAGTTTTTACATGTAAACATTGTGAAATACTTTCAATCAAGTACCTATGCGTATCTCTAGGTACATTAAAAAGAATTCTTATAGCAGTATTCCAGTATGTATGAATTAAAGGAAATCTGTTTATTTTTCATGATTCGAACCTATTCTTGATGTGACCACATTTCAGAATAAAACCTTTAAAACATGTTAAGTCACTTGCAAACATACTTTAACATCTAAAGGGGGAAATTATTATCAAAAAAGAGAGAGCGAAAGATTTTTAAATACCCATAGCCCTCCCTTTAGGTCTAAAACCGGACTTTTAAATTAACTGCCTGAATGACTACTTTTTCCTGTAACAAAATAAATCTTCGCTTTGACCCACTTTCCGCTGTTAGATTTTGTTATTTTTTATCTTTCTGAAAAGCCTATGACATAAGGAAGCAGATTGCAAAAGTTTTGCAAAGAAGTTTTTTGCAAATTATTTGCATACAACTCGCAAAAAGAAACGTGCATATTTTTAGTTTTTCTTAATTACACATCTGGTTATTTAAATTTCTTTTTGCATATTTGAAATGGCATGGTTAAGGGCTTTTCAACAGTGTATATTTTTCATTTTTTGGGCATTTTTTGCAAACATTTTTACTATAAAACTGGATTTTGCCAAAAATTGAAATTTTTACAAATTTTCATTTTTTTTTGCTGATTCTTAAAGTAGAGCATTAGAGCTTTACAATGATGTATCATGTGTCACATTTGAACATCAAACACGAGATTTAACGTATCCTGGTTTTCAAGTACGACAGAAGGGCCGGGATAGGATTACAAAAATTCAGTAGAACTTAAAAATATGTTTATGACCATTTTTTTTCAGTGCAGATCCGGATCCAAGTTAGATAGACCCCCATATTGACGAATATAATCTAGTTGTACCTGTAAAGACCGTAATCTCTAAGGACCCTCATCAGCTCTGTTGTTTCTTCTACAGCAGGGTAGTATTGTACATAGAACTCACGCTCTTCGTTGGGGGGCTAAACATCAAAGTGTAAACAAACCGTGCTGTACATATAACTCACGTTCCTCGTCTTTTATATGTTACTGTTTATGTGGTGTTGATTCTCAGGACTCCTATATTGGAGTATAATATAGAAACTATAGACAATCATTATCTGGTATATGTTAGGGCGGATACAGGATTTAAGTGAGGGGGGTGCTAGATTTATTTCGGAACAAAAAATCTAGATTTAGGAACCAAAAGACGCGACGCAGGCAAACCTTTTTTTAAGATAGATATTTTTTTCTGTTTTGCACTAGGATTTCTTTCCTTTCTTTAAGTGCTTTTGAAAAGCTATTCTAAATCCGTTAGGGGGTGCAAAGGTCCTGCCGGCCCCCTTGTATCCGCCCCTGGGTATATGAACAGAGACCATCAGAAAACACATAGATAAATAGAAAATAATCAATTTTCAAAACTAAAACCCTGATATCTTGCTCATTCTTGGTCAGAGAAAGCTTTAAAAGGGTACACTTCTGAATCGAACATGTCACTAAAACAATGGAGGGTAACTTTCAAGTCCAAAAATTTCCTAGTCGCTCCGCGTGGAGTCCAAGAAAACTATTGATTTGATAATTAAAATAAATAAAAGATATGAAGAAATCACGTGATCGTATTTAATAAATCTAGATAAACCAGATAAGGATAGCCGGTCAATGACCCGTTTCTACCCTTTGTTGCACCTTCATGTAATTCACACCATAAAAGCAGGGGAAGGGGTTTGAATATATGTATAGCATCCCACGCCCCCCCCCCCCTAGAAAAAGGCCTAGATTAATGCATGTTCAGTCCAATTTTTTAAGGCTTAACCGATAACTTAAATAGTTCAGGTGCTAGGAAGGTTTAAAAAAAAAAACTGGCAAAAAATGGTTAGATCCATTTTTCAAGGGCTTTTCAAAAATGTAGATCTATTGCTTTAATAACAAAAAAAAAGTTATGTACACATCCACCTTACAATAAGAGTCAATAAATCAGTAATTATAATCCGAATTCGAATCCATAAAATTCGCAACAATTTAGCTCAATAGAAACGTATCCGACTATAATAAAAATATATTGATATTTGATACCTTAGAATATTTTTCAACAAGATTCACCGATTTCTCTGACGTAGGTCGGTAAACTTCTCCAAAAATCTGAACATTTTCCGAAATTAATTGACCAAAGGCTTAAATTTTTTTTTTTGAATAGCGATCAGCCGCCATGGGTATCGTGCTATGTGTTTCTGTTGATCACAGGTTATTCCTAGCTATCATTTTTTTCATCTTTTAGAACACGAGTTTATATAAACTTTAAACTATAACAACAACAATTATAATAATTACGACCAACCCTTCAATCTTAGAAAAGCTAATATCAATTATAAAACAATATAGCTCATCAGTTAATCCTAATAAAAAAATGTTGACAATTTCTTTAATAAAAAATAAATGATTTACCTGATTAGAAAGGCGATTCATCTTGAGCGCATAATCACTCTTACTCTGTAATGTCCTAAAATCAGATTAAATATTTAGATATGAAGTTTTTTTTCAAACCAAACCCTCCTAAAGAGATAGACTGACTAAACTTAGTAGTTGAGCTGAAAGTGCAGTAATATAGAGAAAAACTTTAGGGTTCATTTGATACTAATGAGACATTTTTACGGTGTATAATTTAAAAAAAAAAAGCGTAAAGTTGTTTATAATATTTCGCCTATTGATGAAGTCAGCCAATGAAACGTTTGTTTTACAATTATTAAATAACATGGACAAAACGGTGTTAGGTCATTTCCCCAGCGCAACTTCCCCAACACAATTTCCCCAGTCACAACTTCCCCAACAGCAACTTCCCCAGTCGTTAATTTCCCCAACCCTTACTTCCCTAGTCACTAATTTCCCCAACAGCAACTTCCCCAACACTAACTTCCCCAGTCACTAATTTCCCCAACAGCAACTTCCCCAACACCAATTTCCCCATGCAGTAAAATGATTTAGATTTGTCCCTTGACATTGATTGTAGGTTGTAATCATATTTATTGGGATCCACCAGAACATTTCTCTTCTTCGAGGACAGTGTATAAACTGCCAACATTGTCGACTCTAATCCAATTGATTTGTTCACATTTAAAAATTTGCGAATTTTTAATTTTTAAAATTGCATTTGTTCATTGGAATAATGTTTAAAACGGAAATATTTGATATTTTACTGCATGGGGAAATACTTGTTGGGGAAGTTGCTATTTTACTGAACGGGGAAATTGCTGTTGGGGAAATTAGTGACTGGGGAAATTGCTGTTGGGGAAATTAGTGACTGGGGAAGTTAGTGTTGGGGAAATTGGTTGTTGGGGAAATTGCTGTTGGGGAAGATGTCTCGGGGAAGTTGCGCTGGGGATCTAACCTAACACCGACAAAACATGTAACAAATAATCTACAAACTAGTTGCACATATACAAACAGGTTGAGAAAAATAATCTGCGAATAAATTTAAGGAAACAACATTTCTTCTGCTGACTGAATCAACTGGTGAATTACAAACGACTTAACGCTCTTCTGCACTTTCAGTTCAACTACCATACCGAGCCGATCTCTCCCTTTAACAAGTAATAAATCTGTGCTAGAAAAAAAAACAACTTTTATTTAACTACACAATGCACGATTCCGACATAAAAATAGTTTCATACTATTACAAATTTTAAGGTAGTATAATAATGTTCAAAACAATAATAATAATAATAATAAAAATAGTTTCATACTATTACAAATTTTAAGGTAGTATAATAATGTTCAAAACAATAATAATAATAATAATAAAAATAGTTTCATACTATTACAAATTTTAAAGTAGTATAATAATGTTCAAAACAATAATAATAATAATAATAAATCCCAAACAGGAACTACTCCCTATTTTAACCGAAGAATCCCCTTGAATTTGATGCTCAGACTATTAAATTCAGTATAAACTAGGCTACCAGCTTGGGAACCCAGCATTGCCCAGGATACTCATAGTTACTCCCGCCGTTGACCCGCGCTTGGTCGTAAATTATCCACTCAAATTATAATCTCAAAACCAATTCCCTTGGTTCTCACAAAATTTGAGGCAAATCGGTCAAGGGGTTCGCGAGTTATGATCGGACATCCAAACTAACAGAGATTACAACTTTATATGAAGAGATACTATTTGAAATTATTGATCTGTTCTGAGCTTAGAGTTTTTAAAGAAACAGAATTAGTTTAACTGATGATCCTGTTCTTCCGATGAGTTTATCAAATCCAAAAAAAAATGGGGATTAACGATTCAAATATTCACTAATAAAGGTCAGTTAAGTTGATTTCTAGAAGGGTTGACCAATAAGATTTGTTAATCTTCCTGCAAAGAGAAAAAATCTATCTCATTCTGACAGTTCCAAGGTTGTTTAAAGAGGTTGCTTACTCTCGATGCGCTTCAATGTACGGAAAATGTCGTCTCCTAAGTAATGGACAGTGGATTCCATAAATAGAAGCAAGTGTAGGGATTAGTAACGTTATTTACGGAGTCCATTACATCGAGATTAATCAACTTTAATAAACACTAAACAACCTTGGTCTGATCTGAACACAAACTCTTAACTCCTAAACTCAATTCATCTTACCTGGCGTAGGAAAACAATTTGACGCTTTTTCCAATTTTTCCCGCCATAATGCAAATCTAAATATAACTTCCAAATTATAAATCATATAAAGGTTTCGTTTCCTCTTTAAAAGGAAGGTCACTTTTAAGTCCTGAGTAAAATGGGAAATAAAATATTTGTACCTAATATCCTTTCCTGCCTCTAAACCTAGTTCGCATATCCAGGAGAGAACGCTTACACTCAAAGAACGCAATTCGCAGGGCTTGACACTCTTGTGGAACCTATAAGAAATATATATATATAGATATTAGCTATTTTTTAAGGAAACCCATGGGTACCCTGGGGGTAACGTAACATAAAAAAAAACAATTTTTTCCCGGTGTTTTTAAAATTCCACGGGCAACGCCGGGCACTTGAGCTAGTAAAAATTAACTCTATTCAACTTTTTACATTTTGATTATAGACATTTGAATTTTAAGGCCCCGTAAAAATATTATTAATAAGAACATCTCACTTAAAAGCTTCAGTTTATCATTTCACTTTCTTGGAAAGGATGGAACTTCCTTAGGAACTTTAAAAGTATTAAAATACTTTCCAAAAAACTTTCTTCAGATAATCAAACTCAATAAAACTTATCCAAATTTGTGAAAACTTATACAGTGAAGTATCACTGTTATCAGTTGGTATTTCTTTTTCCGCTGAATTGGGAAAATAAAAGTTATTGGGTAAAAAGTACAAAAAGATAAAGAATCCTACCCATAACTTAAATTTAGAATAAACTGTTAAAAATACATTTGCTTTTCTTACACTGTGCTAAATTTTGACAATAAAAATAAATTATAAAGAAAAACGACACAAATGGGCCAACAAATCAAAACAACCAACTCTGGTTAGGCGGGTCCAAACTAGATAGTAAATTGTGATTTTTTATTTGTATTATCTCGTGCTTTGTAGTCGAATGCAAATATGAAATGAAATGAAATACGAACCATCTGAAGGCACATCACTAATTGTAACTTAACTTAGTGCCCTAACCTAACTGACTTGTTCCAACCTGATTATCTTGAAGGCACTGTAGAGGAGTTTTCTTATCCTTCAGACAACAATCAGTCTAGAATTTTTTAGTGTAAACTGACATGTGCACACTGATAAAATTTAACCATCAGGTTTCAAGTTTAACAACTAATTTTTTTTCTTTGGAATGTATTTATATGCAGTCCACTGAGTTAAAGTTTCAGAAACTGCCACCAGGGTTTTTTTTTGAATAAATTCATTTTTAAGAAATTTCTAAATCAGGTACATTTACAAGTCTAAATCAAGTACATTTACAGGTCTGAATCAAGTACATTTACAGGTCTGAATCAAGTACACTTACAGGTCTGAATCAATTACATTTACAGGTTTGAATCAAATACATTTACAGGTTTGAATCAAGTACATTTACAGATTTGAATCAAGTACATTTACAGGTCTGAATCAAGTACATTTACAGGTCTGAATCAAGTACATTTACAGGTCTGAATCAAGTACATTTACAGGTCTAAATCAAGTACATTTACAGGTCTGAATCAAGTACATTTACAGGTCTAAATCAAGTGTAAATTTTGTTTCAAGACATCTTTTTAACCTTAAATGGCAGGGTCATCAAATTTTGTATTTTTTATAACAGCTATCAGATATATTGTAGCAAAAAAATCAAATTCCAAAGTCAACGACATGAAAAAGTTATTTTGATGTGATTTTTAACAATTTCGCTATAGAAAACTCTTTCAGGCAGTACTTAAACAGTCATATGACATACATGGGGATTGGATTTTTTTGCTTTAACATATCTTATGACTGCTCAGCTAAAAAAAATCGCAAAATTTGAGGATCCTGCAAATTACGGCTCAAAGATTCTAAAGAAAATCACAGAAAAAGCTAAATATAGCCTAGAAACTATAGCTACGTTTGATTTTAGATCTGAAAATGCAATACGATTTCTTGAAAATGTATTTACTCAAAATTCCCTAGATAGCATTTTCTGAAACTTGAGACTTGAGATTATGACTAAGTAGACTGCCAGTGCATATTTATTTATTCCAAAGAAAAAGTTTAGGTGTTTTGACTTGAGAACTGATGGTTAATTTTCAACAATGTGCATGAAAATTGGAAAATAATTGTATCACTTTACACTTAAAAATTACAACTATCTAACCCAAAAAAAAAGAATAAAAATTGGGAATAAAAAGTTTGTTTAAGACAAAGTTGACATGACTAAAATTCCCAAATGTATTTAACTAATAACTTAAATTTCTATATACTACAATATACTAGCCTATTTAACTTCCCCTAAAATACAGTACTCGTATCTAGAAATAAATAAACATTATTTACCAGCAATAAGCAGCGTTTAAGATCAACTCTGAGACCGTCGCACGGGCGCTTTCCAGTAATTTCCTGACTCATTGCATACTACACATAGTAAAAATATGTCTGAAAACAAAATAGTTTTACATTTGAACATTTAGAAGTTTGGACAAAGTATATTATAAAAATATTTGAATACAACATCATGAAATTAGGAATTCAGCATTCTATTATTTTAATCTTTTAATCTGAGGCAGGTGATGCTGAGCGAGATTTGTTCGAGGCCGCCGAGCCTGACCTCGACTTCGCCGCCGAACCTGATCTCGACCTCGCCGCCGAGCCTGATCTCGACCTGGCCGCTGAGCCCGACTTAGCAGAGCCAGAACGCGATCTTGATCCCGACTTAGAACGTGAACGTGATTTAGAACGAGACTTTGATCTTGAGCCAGACTTGGACCGGGATTTAGATCTCGATCCCGACTTTGATCTTGATCCCGACTTGGATCTTGACCCCGACTTGGACCTTGATCCCGATTTTGATCTTGATCTCGACTTTGATGATGCTGCCGATCCTGATCGTGATCCTGCAAATAGTTTTTATTTAATTATTTTGATAATAGTATAAACCATAATATAATAAAACTATTGCTATATTTTATAACTATTTACTTCATCATCAAACCTCAAAGAATGGAATCAGAATCTCAATTAATAATCCAATCCTTCTTTTGCTGCTTTTCCTGTGTTTGCAAAAAAATAAGGTTTTTGCTATAAGAAAAAGAACCATGTTAAATTACGAATAAATTGTAACTATGCACTTTTTGTGACAAATATTTGCACCAAACGACTGATAACTTTCAAGATCTGTTAAGTATGCTTAACACTGTATTCATGATTTAATCAAAGTTTAATCATTTTGGTGAATAGTCCTTGTAAATGTGATGCCATATCGAAATAAAACTTGCAGATAAAATTCTTTTCTCTTCCTCATATTATTCATTATTTCATTAACCGCCATCTCGATCAACAAGCTATTTTCGAAGCCCCTTTCTTGTTTTTTTTTCTCCCTTAAAATCTGTGCCTCACAATTGAGCAGGAAATAATTTCATTGACAACTAATTACCGGGGAAGTTCAGGGAATTTTACTTTAACAAAGGTTTCCAAGACCAATTTTGCCTACAAAACATCCAGAGCACAGCGAGGGATGTTTTTAGTCATAATTTTTAATTTCCCAAAAAAGTTTATGTACACAATTTTATCGTCTTTAAGAAGTAAGAAATGATGGAAAGATCAGAGAAGAAACCTGACATAGAGCTCCCAGCATCACTATGCGAGAATTTTTTTCACTAAAACTTTGCAGAGGAAGTCACATTGGACAATGAACATTAAGTAACTTAAGGTCCCTCATCATGGGTCGGTAATGATGGGGAAAAGACGGGGAAAAATCCGTTTTTTTACCTGATTTTGAAGATCCTGATCTACTTCTTGATTTAGATCTACTTCCGGATCTTCCTCCTAAGCAAATATTAAACATGATTAATAAATCATCCTTAAGGGGGTACAGTCGTATTTTTGAGTGACTCTTTATTAATAGAGTGACAGGTCCAATTCACAACGGTACACTTAAAAGCTTTGTCTGAACATGCATTAATTAATTAATTATATTTTAGATTTTTTTGGTATTTACAATTGTGGATTCTCCATAAGTTAATAAGAACTTCCCTTTGTCAGCTGCATTGAGTTACATATATCAGTGTATGCAGTAATTCAGAAAGAAATTTATAAGACCTCCTAGCCTTGACTGCATTCGTGTGGGTTCAAGGTGATTTAGATGTACCCCCTAGGAAAGGAACACCCATGATACCAATGATGATCTCTCTCAGAAAGTTTTGATTAAGATCCCACAGTAAAGCAGTTCCTGAGTTTCACTATATCTGCTCGTGAAGAAGGATAAGGTTGGATTTTAGGATTGTAGTGGAACTCATTAATCAAATAAAGAATTAAAGGGAACAACTTTAAATTGAAATTTGTCCCTCTTAAAATAAAGCGTCGCTCAGTTCCAAAATAAACGTTGAAATGTTAGAAAGAAGAAAACAAGCTGGAATATATTTTCCATTAGAATAGACTCCACAACTCAATTTAGGTTTTTAAACAAAGTCGTTCGTCTACCGAATTCCCAAATCGAAATTTGAGGCAAATCGGTCTTGGGGGACTAGTTATGATCGTACCTCCAAATAAACAAACAGACAAACACAGATTACTATATATATATATATATATATATATATCTAGATACCTGATTTAGATCTTGATCTAGATCTACTTGAACTTCCGATTCTTCTCTTCTTTCCTCCTTTGTCACTTCCTCCACTCTCACTTCCACTTCTAAATAAATTTCAAACTTCAATTCAAAATTCAAATTTCAAAAAGTTCATATAATATTGGGATCGGGGCTGAAAGTACATTTAAGGGCATGAAAATACACTTTGTGAGTCATTGTGAAGTTTTTGGCAAGATTTTTTTGTGTACGTGTACTACACTTCAGAAACGTTTTTTTGTGTACGTGTGCTACACTTCAGAAACGTTTTTTTTGTGTTCGTGTACTACACTTCAGAAACGTTTATTGTGTACGTGTTCTAAACTTCAGAAACGTTTTTTGTGTCCGTGTACTACACTTCAGAAACGTTTTTTGTGTACGTGTACTAAATTTCAGAAACGTTTTTTGTGTACGTGTACTAAACTTCGGAAACGTGTACTGCATTTGGGGTTGAACGATATAAATATCAGTAATCGATAGAGGAGATAAATTATAATATGCAGAAAAATAAACACTCCCTTGCAGTACACATACATTCTGCAGTATGGAGTTTTCTTCTACAACTTGACATCAAACTTCTAAATGTTTACAACAACATGGTTAATTTCTGCCCTTAATATCAATCAATCAACATTTGGGATCGTATTGGATGGCATTATATGTACCCCTATTAAAAAGCTATTTCAACTATTTCTATAGTTTTTAAATTACCTGCTGACTATCTTCATCTTCCTGCCCCCACCCTCACTGTCAGAACTGTCACTGCTCACCTAACACAAGGTTGTTAACTACATGGTCAGGTTATAGAGTACATAGCGAGGTTATAGAGAACATAAAGTGGTTATAAAGTTCATGACGAGGTTATTAAGTTCAAGAAGAGGTTATAAAGTATATGACGATGATATAAAGTATATAACGTGATGAGGTTATAAAGTACATGACGAGGTTATAATTACATGACGAGGTTAATGAGTACATTACGAGGTTCTAAAGTAAATAAAGAGGTTCTAAATTTGTACATGTAGAGAAGTACATGTAGAGGTTGTAAAATACATAACGAGGTTATAAGCTACATGAAGTGGTTATAGAGTTCATGACGAGGTTGAAGAGTGAATGAAAAGGCTATAAAGTACATGTTGAGGTTATTTAATTCATGGAGAGGATAAACATACAGAACATGAGCAAATTTATACAGGTTTCAATAGTGCTGTTGTAAATCAATGCTGGCCAGTCTAAAAATAAGAAATAAAACAGTTGTTAACTAACTTTTCAAAACTAAGGACTGGTATAGAAGAGGGAGAACTAATACTAATAAAAAATGTCAACTTTACGAGTGTAAAAATAGAGTTATTGATATTGAGTACAAATTGTTATGTTAGTGTCTTACCGTAGCTTTACTCCTGATCTTCCCCTTCGCTTTCTTGGATAGTTTATCTATTCCCATTTCCTTCTCCTTATTCTTCTTCTCCATTCTCTTCCTTGCTCGCCTTTCCTTCTTAGATTCTTTCCCATTATTCTTCTTCTCTCTCTTCCTCTTCCGCCCTCTCTCTCCGTCTTCACCACGACCTTCCGCCCCGCTTTCGTCGCTTGTCTTGATCTCTCCGTCGTCACGACGCCTTCGTCCGCCACCGCCGCCTTTTTTACGCGCCGCAGGTGTATCGTCGATCATCTAAATTAATGAAAAACTAGTTGACAACCGGTCTTTCTATCTTCTAATCCGTACAAAAAGTAACATTGTATTGAACGAAAATCGAATTTCAACCCTTATTTTAAATCGTGGAGAAAGGTTTTTGATAATTTGAGGGAAAATGATAAATTGGACATCAAAAGACAACTTTTTTCATTTCTTTATTTTAATTATGATTTTTGAGAAAATATTCACCTCTAGAACCTTCCAAATTTAGTTTTGGAATTTTATGAAATGTAGAATTATATAAATTACCTCTATTTGAGTCGCGTTCCTCATCTTCTCCTTGTAAACTTCACGCGCGCGAACCTTCTCCTCCAACTGAGCGCGTCGTTCCTCTTCTTTCGAGCGCAGCAGTGCCTCCTGTTCTCTACGAAACTTTTCACGCTCTTCGGTTTGCTTTTTACGCGCAGCGCGCTCTTGTTCATCGATGGTCTTAGCGCGTGCGACATGGTATTGGGCCTGGAAAAAAAATTTGTAAAGGTTTGTTTTTAACCAAAAAAACTAAATAATCGAGAAAAAAATAATTTTCTATTGACACCCACACCCATCCCTCTTATCGCAGATGTAATAATTTAACTTAAAACCTTGGAACAAAAAATGGGATTAAAATTCTATAGAAATATAAGATTAAACATCCTGTTTCATATACTTACCTATTTATAATAATGCATTATCTGGAACTAGCTATGACACTTCTTTAATTGAAATATAGATGATAGAATAAATAATAATAAGTCTCTTAAAAAGTATTTGATGTAGATACTACCTGAGATAGAAGATCCTGGCACTGCCTGGCCTCTATTGCCGCTCTACCGAGGTCGTACTTCATCTTATCCCCCTCCACAGCCAGGTACTAATGATAATGATATTAATGATAATGATTATACTGAAAATAATACTAACACCAACAATAACAATAACAATAACAATAACAATAACAATAACAATAACAATAACAATAACAATAACAATAACAATAACAATAACAATAACAATAACAATAACAATAACAATAACAATAACAATAACAATAACAATAACAATAACAATAACAATAACAAAAACAAAAACAAAAACAAAAACAAAAACAAAAACAAAAACAAAAACAAAAACAAAAACAATAACAATAACAATAACAATAACAATAACAATAACAGTAAAAGTAATGATAGCAGTAACAATAACAATAACAATAAAAGTAATGGTAGCAGTAACAATAACAATAATGATACAAATAATAATAACAATAATGATAACAATAACGATAATGATCATTTCAATTTTTGAAAATCCCGTTTTTCTAAAAGCTTTGTGGTTTTAAAGAGCTTTGCACCTGACATAACTGACGTACCTGACATACGCAGCTACTGACGTACCTGACATACGCAACTACTGACGTACCTGACATACACATCTACTGACGTACATGATATACGTAGCTACTGACGTACCTGACATACGCAGCTACTGGCATTTGACATAAGCAGCTATTGACACACTTGACATACTCAGCTACTGACGCACTTGAGATATGCAGCTTATAGCGCACTTGTAATACGTAGCTACTGACGCACTTGACAACCGAAGCTACTGACGCACTTGACATACGCAGCTACTGACGTACTTAACATACGCAGCTTCTGGCACACTTGAAAAACGTAGCTATTGACGCATTTGACATACGCAGCAACTGACGCACTTGAGATACGCAGCTACTGGCGAACTTGTTTACCTGAAAGTATTTATGAGATATTCCCAACTCATGAACAGCTTGAAGAACCTCCTCCAAGCTGCTCTTCTCATCTCGGAGCAGCTGAGCTGCTAGTTTCTGTAGAACTAGAGCTATATTGTACAGGATAACTGTATCCTAAACATAACAAACAATAATTATCTTTATCACTATGCCTCAATCAATCAATTAAAGTTTTAGGGAATTTCCAACTAGCCACATATAATACATTTAGTAAAGCAGGAAAGAGATATGAATTTATAGCTTTGTGATGACTTAATGTAAAAAGAATTTGCATTTAATTTAAGTTCTTGGGGGAAAGTTCCTTTTTTCTTTGAACAGGAGCGTTCAGGAACTCAAGTCAGACTTTCAGGGACGTAATATTTCCATACTTCAGAATCAAATCAGACTTTCAGGACGTAATATTTCCATACTTCAGAATCGAAGTGACAGAATCAAATCAGACTTTCAGGACATAATATTTCCATACTTCAGAATCGAAGTAACAGATTCAAATCAAACTTTCAGGACATAATATTTCCATACTGCAGAATCGAAGTTAAAGAATCAAATCAGACTTTCAGGACATAGTATTTCCATACTGCAGAATCGAAGTCAAAGAATCAAATCTGAAGCATATTCTTACACTTATCATCTGGTTTTTGGGGAAAAGTACTAAATAAGATAACAAACTTCCTTTAAATGTCCTATAATTTTTTCCCCTAACCAATAAAATGCTTCAACTCAATGAAACATTTAGAGATTAGGAAGTTTTTATAATCTCTCGTTAGTTATCAGTTGAGTTTTGTGCTGGGGCCACGGGTTTTTTTTGCGTGACAAAATGTTTAGTTAATTAAATGCCACTCTTGAATCCGTATCCGGAACCAGGAAGTCAAAATGTCGCAATTCAAAAGGGTTCGGATACAAAGCAAGGTTTTTTTTGTTTTCAAATGAGGTAATGCCACACCAAAAAGATATCTAAAACTTGATAACATCACTATGTATTTTAATCCGTTTTAATGTGAATTGAATCCTGAGTTCTGATAGGTTCAGCTTAAAAACATCCTGACTTCTCAATGGTGGACTTCGACGGGTAAACATATTTAAAACCACCCCTTTTACCTGAGGAGCAACACGACGAGCCTTTAACAGAGCTGCTTTAGCCTCCTAAATACAAACAGAAAATCAATCAATCAATCAACCAATCAATCGTCAATCAACTAATATAATAGACTAATATACAAATTTAATTCAGTTTAATTTTTAATTGATAATTATTAAGGCATTACCTTCAGTTTCCCCGCCTTATAGTACGCTCTAGCCAAGTATTGGAGAACCTGAAACAAATTCAATTTTAAACAATGTAAAAATTGACCTTAAAGAAAATAAATCTGCAAAACTATTTAAAGGAAGAGTAGGCGATAAAGGCAACTAGTTGTATAATGTATATGATGTATGTAGATTTTATATAAAAAAATTGAAACTTTATTAGCTAATTTGTGTTTGTGTATCCACCATCCTTTAAATCCTGTTATTCTAGTATCTCTACATTAATTCCTCTGATCTCACCCTGCCACAGATCACCTGACAATCTCCTACCTCCCAATCAACTCCCTACCTATCCCAAAACATAATTGGATGTGCATTTCCACTATCCAATTATATTCATTATCGTTAACTAACTTGGGGTCAACCACTCAAAACAACCTACCCCGGTTAGGCGGGTCCAGACTGCATAGTAAATTGTGATTGCTTATTTGTAATTTCTCACGCCTTATAGTTGAATAAAATTATGAATATGATCAATTGTTTTACTTCTATCAATACAAGTAGGGTTTTTCGATTTAAGTGAAATGCTTCAGAGACAATAGAGGACATATTTAAAATGAAACACTGTTCAGTGTTTAAGCTAGAAGAAAAAAGGACGTTGTGAATCTAACAAGCCCCTTTATACAAGATTACTTGAAATTACGACAAATTTGAGGTTTACCTCTACATTTGGATACTTGAAGAACTTGGCGAGACAGTTTTCATACATCTGAATAGCGGAGATATATTGTCTCTGCTCGACATAGATGTGTCCAATATTCAACCAGACATCACAGAACTCAGCTGTAGCTTCACGAACCTTAATTAAAAAAACGTTAATGGTGTTCTTGGAAAATTGTTGCCCTAAAATTTTGTAGCATTTTACCCAAAATCTGGTGAGATTTACGTAGGAGGGGGGTGGGGGCCGGAGGTAATTTTTTTCGAAAAAATAGCCGAATTTTTAAATTTTCTTAAAGCTTCTAAAATTTTATAAAATCAACCCAGGTAGTATTACCATTTTTTTAATATTCTCATGATTATATTAAAGCTAGATTAAATTAATTAATAATAATTATAATTTTTATTACAAAATTCGGTAAAAATATGACTTTGAAGTCGAGGAAGAAATTGGGCGCCTGGCCAATAGGGCAGGGAAATGATTTTCGAAGATTTGAAGGAGAATTTACTTCCTATTTTTTATACGTCTACCGGACAACTCCGTTAATTTCCCCCTCTTGAGTGCAAAACAAACTCCACAATTCCCCCCCCCCATTCAGTAGAAAAGACTCTACAATTTATTTACAAAGAGAAGGCGGTTTAAAGGCTGGGGGGGGAGTAATTGATAAATACCTGAGCAAAGATATCTCTGGCTTCCTGGATACAACCTTTGTGTGCTAGTACTGCTCCTATACCATTAGCTGCCCAGATATTTCTAAAATAATTCAGACTTAAGGGACTGCTCATGTAATTATAAGTGAAATCCCATTCAAAGAAAAGCAGCATAACCCACCACGGTATTCTTTTAATCTTTAACTGTGCAATAAGGATGAAAACGACCTCGCTTTCTATGTTGAGAATTTACAATGTCTAATTGTGGTTTTTATAAGATAAATTTAGTAAGTTAAAATTTCTTTATTCTATGTTGAGAATTTACAATGTCTAATTGTGGTTTCTTTATCATAAATTTAGTAACTTGCGAATTTTTAATCCTATGTTGAGAATTTATAATGTCTAATTATAATAAATATTATATCATATCTGTTCGGTTCCATAGTAGTAAACCTATCGTGTAAGAATTCCCATTATTCCATTCCATTATTACACGGTTCAGGAGGAACAATTTTAATATTGTTCGCTTCCCTGCGTTTAAGAATGCTTATTCTTACACAGTAGGTGCAGCATTTTCATTCTTTAACGCTCAGACCGTGTAAGAATGGAAATTATTACACGGTCAGAGCGTGAAAGAATGTATATTCTTACACGCTCCAAGCATTAAAGAATGGAAATTCTTACACTAGTTAAAGAATATTCATTCTTACACGCTCCTTATATTGATCTTTTAAGTATAGATCAATATTGATATTAACTTAATTATTTTGTACTGACAACATGCACAGGGCAAACTCACCTTTTTCTTTTACATTAATACATAGAAACTTACCTTTTTAACTTAAAAACAACATGCTCACTTACCTTTTTCTTTTATATTAAAAACATGCAAACTTACCTTTTATACTTCAGTAAAACATGCTCACTTACCTTTTCATGCTCACTTACCTTTTTCGTTTTTTGAAGTATTGATATACCTTAATTCAGAAATATCAATTTGAATCTCAACCCTAGTCCTGACAGAAGAGTGGAAATTAACATTTTCTGACCATTCCCAAAAATATGGACGATGCTTTTAGCCTTCCATTAGACACTTTCATCAAACTGCCGAGTCTTAAAGCATACTGCCCGACTGCCTACTTTATAATTTTTTTTTAGTTCATCTTCATTTCAAACCAAGTTTGGTGAGATTTTGCAAATCTCTGCATACTTGTAATAGT